AGGTGCCCTAAAATTCATGCAAGAAGTAATTTTGATAGAAAACCCAGGTTTTTAATTAAAAATTGTAAATATTCAACAATGAAGATGCGTTGTTCTTGAGTGTAGCGCTCCATTTTAATAATAATTTAATAATAACCCTGAACTGTCAGCTGTTAGGCTGTCTTCTTTTCGTTGGCAACACTGTACCGCATAAATGGCGCAAAATTCAAATCTTGTGTGAATTTTGGAACACCCTTTATTTCAGTAGGGTACATAATGATTCTAATAAAGGACAATAAAGGTGCAAGAAAATTGATTAGACATTGATACTGGTAGGAAAATTTTGACGAATTCAAAAAATAGAATTAAATAAAAGTGTGAACTATATAGTATTTCAATGGTACTGCCAATAAAGAGACAAGGTACACCGATTTCTAGATTTGTGGTAGGTATGTACACCGTTCAATTCGTTTTGGCGCTAGCAACAATACTATGACATCAAAAACGTATACTGCCATTTTAAGAAGTTAGGGTAACCTCGATCGTTTTACGTAAAAAGTATTTTTTGAGAATCAAGAATATGGACACATGTAGCCCATCAAATAATAAAAGAATTTTGTCTGAAATATTTTTCAATTGCACTACCGGAAATGCCTAGAAAACGGTGATAAGACTTAACGCGGACACTATATATACATTTAACTACTATAAATTAAATTTAAAGAATGAAAACCTGGTTCAAGGATCGTTTTCTAAAATGTGAACTTGAAAATAGTTAGAGATAGGGGAAAAAGGTTTTAAATAAAAATTTACCGATTATCGATATATCAAAACAAAATACTTTAGTTTACGAAAAATCGATTTTTGGAATATAATTTTATCCTTTAAACTTAAGTTGCAGCAGATAAAAGAAGCATGTATTAATTCTGCCTACTGTTCAATCCTATAATATTTCATTCCAATTGAATCTTCTTTGTGGAAATATAAAATTCCAGTTTTGGAATTATTATTATTATATGATACATTTTAATAATTCGAATAGATTGCATTACGACAAGGAACTTGCAATGTTGACATTAATCATATTACCGTTATTCGACTTTTTCTCGTGTTTTTGGTTTTGCTCGTCGATGTGTGTATTAACCCTTTGCACTTGAAAGGAGATTCTCAATCACCAAATGGGAAAATTGAATTATAATTTTGAATATAGATGAACTTTCCGTATCAAATTTAAGCTAATGCAACGATACATAAAGCATTCAAATAAAACATTCATTTAAACACGATTCCTATTGATGTTATTGCGAAAAATGTGATTGCATTTATAGCAGAAAATTTTCAAGTTAATGTTTCGCTATGGTGGAAGATTTATTTGTTACAAGAAAGTGGCGAGTCAAAGCTTTGAAGCTATTATGAAATTGACGAAATTTTGTACAGTAAAATAAAAAGGAATCATTAAGTTACAGAATTATTTTATTTCGGTATTTCATGTATTATTATTTAAATTAGTGCATTGTTATTTAAATTATTTAATTACATTATATTCGTATTGTTTAAATTACGTTATTATTTAAATTAGTATTCAGTGGTATTTAATATTTAGTATCATATTCTGACTGACAACAGAAAATCGACTGTCGAATGTGAAGGATTAATATCAAAAGTCATGAAGAGATTGGAATGAATGGAATGAAAAGAAACAAATCACAATTAAATGTAAAACAGCATATACTATGCATTATTCAGAAGATAGCTCGCATGACAACAGAGGAGGAGGGGAGTAATCCGATCGCACCGTCTGAGCCCTCAAGGACACGCTGGCCTTGTTCCATACTGTCATTTCGGGCAATAAGGAAAATACGCTTACTTCTTTTTTTACGATTCTGGGCAAAAGTCGGCCTATCGGGTTATAACACTTCAGCATCGCAAATTTTTCGCGTGCCTTTTGAGCTGAACACTGCATAATATATTATAGCATAGAAAGAATTGAACACGTGACAAAAATTCAAAAAAATATTATGTAAATGTAAAACGGTAAGATGATTAAAATTGGAATTACTAATTGTTTGCACATTATCGTGATAATCGAGAACGATTGTCAAAATTATCGATATATGAACCATTCATAGGCCAGTAATTAATCTCACTTTTTGAATCTCTCAAAATTTTTTAATTTTTGGTTTCTCCTTTTGTTGCGTAGGATTAATTGATTTGGCAAGTGGGCGATTCATATAGTTCCTTATAGTTGTAATAATAAAAATTCGTAAATTACCAATTTCATATTTCTAGAAAGTATATTTCTATCATATTTCTAGTTCGGATTTGGTTAAAATTTTTGTATGGATTAGTAAAACAAATAATATATGTAGACAATGTGTACATATTTTTCTGAACTATTGTAATTCTAATTTAAAGGATTATTGTTGTAATCCAGTCTAAAAAGTCGATTTTTTTTTTACATTTTTCAAAGCGTATGATTTCGAAAATGTCTGTATAAAAGGATTTGCTTGAATTCGTAAAACTAGCAAAGTTATAGATGTTTAAAGTGCGGTATACAGGCATTGTATAACGGGTAACAAAAACTTCAAACGCGTTTTTTTCGAAATCATATTTTTTGAACTGACTAAAGGGATATCTCGCGTTTTAGTTGACCGATTGACTTGAAACTTGAAGGAGATCTTCACTGGATGTCCCTCTATCACGTGAACCATGAATTTCAAAATTTGATGTTTCTTTCTATTTTTGTTTACCACCCAAAAGGACGAAAAGCACAAGGAAAATCGATATTTAAATTTCAAAATGCTATCCTTTCTACAATTTTCGAAATTTCGCTGTTTTTGTGGTACATGTTATAGCTGTATTTATACTAAGATACTTTTTGGTTTTTTCGTTTTCAATAACCAGATGGTCCGGAATCACGTCAGCTATTCGAATCCATTTTTAAAACAATGATATACTTAAGGCTGTATAATTTCCACAATTTCCATTAATTTTGTTAAAAAAAAATTGTAAATATTTTCTAAGCATAAATAAATCTGAGCGTGAAAACTGCATGCCAATATGTATTATGGTTCCATTAGAAAAAAATTCCAAAGAAGTCGATTTTTATTGGCCGGGTTACAAGAATACCCCTTTAAGTCGGGTCCGCACTTGCGTATCTGAACATCGATTCCTAAACTGTTAACTCGTAAATATTTAAGGAAAATAGAAAATAGTTTCTTAATAAAAATTGAAAAATTATCGGCATATTAAAAGAAAATACATAAATTTTCAAAAAATTGTTACTCATTTCCAAATCAGTATTTTGGGACTTTCATATAGGGAATTAATAAATATATATACATACATACATTGATAATTTTGAAAATAGTTTAAGATTTTAGCACGATAACAAAAAAATAATTAGTAATTTTAATTTCAATCACCTTTCCTTCACATCATATTATTTTTGACAATTCATTTTGTTCTCTTTTGCTTCTGGCTGTAAATTGTAAATACAGGGTCAACTTGTCGATGAACCTCTCATCCTCTGATTTCGATAATTTTTGAATATCTTGTGACATTTCTGCTCACTGTAGCGGTTGCTGCTGTCTCCACCGATTCTTGGAATTGAATTCCCGGAATACCGTAGATACTATAGCATTGTTTTGATAATAGACGCATTTTTACCTCGATGGTAACCGCACAATTATTTCTTGTAACTATATATCTTTTCCCTACTCTACTTTGGGATGAAGTTTCGAAAAATTCTATTAGATGAATTCGAGATCGGGATGAAATATGGCGAGGCCTCGAGGGGCAGGGAGTGAACGCTAAATGTAAAATTTAAGCTTTTGAAATTTGTTAGTTTCCGAGATATTAATAAAATACTTTTGGTACTACACATTGAATTCTGCGTATACGTACACGTCCGTGACAGTGTATACATGAGTCTTCGTATACTACAGTACGTGACAGTGCACACACCCTGTAGTTCCCAGCGTTCCTTGAAACTAATGCAATGTATACGTGTGTTACATATGTATTCATATGTATAATATGTTCGGTCCTTAATGATACAGAAGAATATTAACTACAGTTTACATTTCTTTCTACAAATTTTACTTGTTTATGTAAAAACACAAAGCAGATCAATTTTCTTCTCTGAAAATGAAAAGGCTTCTTATACATTTTCAAGTGCTGAATCGAATTTGGCTGCAAAAATTGCTTATCATCTTAGGTTTATGAAACAAATAAATAAAAATATAAATTTTTACCATTTTTAGAAAAGTATTCTACAGATAGTAATATTTTTCAATATCTTTATCTACGTTGGATAATGTTAGGTATCTCAAAATTCACGCAGGAAATTTTGATAGAAAACACAGGTATTTATTAAAGATTGTAAATATTGCTCAGCAATGAAGACATGTTCTTCCGTGTAGCATTTCATTTTTAATAGCTGAACTATCAGCTGTCACGCTGTCTTTTTCTTTCGTTGGCAACACTTTAACGCACAAATGGCGCAAAATTCAAATCTTGTGGAAATTTTGGGACACCTTATAATAGCCTTCTGTTATAAAATCAAATATGATTTATAATGAATCGAATCTTTTTTTCAAAATATATTGCTTTAAAGTTACGCGAGAAATATTGTTTCTTCATTCTGTCGCACACTGTATTCTTTCTATAAACACCGGTAGCAGTCGCCAACAATCATTATACAACGTTACGTAAAAACCCAAGTATATGTTATTATAAAAACGCAAAAATTGATAAATTCTAGATTTTACCGATAAATTCTAATATTTGTCAAACCAAAATAATAAAAGTTCGAAAAAAGCATTACATAAAAGTTCGAAGAAAGCATGTTTCCATTTTAGATATTTATCAAATATTTAGGTATTATCAGGTATTTAGCAAAAATTTTCTAACACTGGTTAGTAAAAGTCCGAAATAAGCAATGAGTTTGCATATTTCATATTATGTGAATCATGGCAAAAAAACAAAAAGACACTAACAGACGGAATTGTAATCAAGCCTATCTCACACAATGAAATGAAATGTAATCCGAACCTAACCTAAATCAAAATGGATTGTTCGCAATATTGGTAAATGATGTTAATAAATCTCAACATTTACGGAAATGATTTGGTAAATATCTGTTTAATTGAGGGTTAAATTATGTACTTATGTTATATATAGGGTGTCCCATCTAAATTGATCCAGCCGAATATTTCCGAAACTATTGATGATACGGAATAATGTTTCAGACGAAAGTTTGTTGATTTGGGTTATGTTTAGGTTAGATTAAGGAACATATAAAAGAAAAAAAATGATCGGTAACTAATGTTTTATTTCAAATTCACGTGTAAAACTGCTAACTTTTCGAGATTTTCCCTTAATTATTTAGTTTTCTTACCCGACATTTTTAAGATTCTCGAACACTTTCAGAATTTTCAAAGATCTTCAAAATTCTCGAAAATATTCGAGAATTGGGACCATACTTTTGAGTTCCCGTCTCGACTCGAACATCGGAATCCGGCACTCCACTAATAATATCTGAATCCGTGAGAAATGGTTTAACCGATCACTTTCTGTCAGAGGTAGTATTACAGTGCCTTCTATGTGGATATTATGATATCTAAACCATGTTTTTTCAGCAAGTGCCTATTCTATGCAATGTTTAATGCACCTTCATCATTGATCTCTACATGTACCAGAATCTCTGTTTCCGTGGACTTTGTTAATACGAAATATTTTTTATCTTTCAAATACTTTTATCTAGATGGTAATAGTTGCACACTTTAAAATGACGAAATGCATTTTTCTCTCGATGATAGTGACGATAATTTTCCAATTGGTCACCTGTTACATACAGAGTATTTAAATTGAACATCTACATTTCCGTTGCTATGAAAGTTAGGAAAAGCTGATAAAAGGTTTAAATGATTCTAAAGTATGCATTTGCCGGTGACAAATAAAAAGAAAGTTTTATCAAAGTTATAGTAATGAGTTTTTTAAGGACATCGATATTTTTTGGAGCATTAATATTTATTTTTTTAATGCGATATTGTAGCCGATATTAAGATGAGTTCAATAACATTTAATTCCATGATTTGGGATGATTTTGAAAACGAAAAAATGTGTTGACATTTAAAAGATACAACACTGAGAAACTTACCTTATTTATTGTAAATGTGTAAACTGTTGACCGCCCCTGAAGTAATTAATTTTGAAATAATTAAAATTAGAATTAGAATTAACTTAGCATTTTCAAATTATTCCTCTTAATACATTTAAAAATAGAAACTGGACAGCTGTACCTCATGACCAAACTTAACTATACAGATTTTATTTCTTTCATAAGTAAGAAAGGAATGTATGTTAAATTAAAATAACGTTTTACAAAATATTGTACAAAGCAAAATTATAAAGTTTAATATTAGATATTAAGTTTTATATAATGTAACCATCCATGAAATACTGAAATAAAATAATCCTAAATATTTGTTAGTTCACGTATGATTTTTATCTGTATTAGTTGTAAAAAATGTCATTAACTATTTATTAAATAAGCTTTGCGTTATTATTTTCTCATAACAAAAAAAAAATCAATAGTGCAAAGAATTAATATCTCAATGATACCTGAATATATCTTCATATATAAATTATACAATATATTTATATAATATGTGCAGGCTATCTCGCGGTAAGTGTCGTTTGATATAACACCTAAGCGGTAGGTGAGAGGAAAAAATGTAGAAATTTTTATCATTATTTTTTTATACAGAATGTCATGACAAAAAATTTGTATTTTTATTTTTTCAAGGTTATTGTAAGGTCAATTCGTGTTTTTTAAATGGGATACTATATTCTTGTTTTGGTATTATGAAAGTACAGAAAAAAACACGTTCAACATACGTCTTTGAAATAACTTTGAGGTAATTTGTCGATGAGATCTCTTATGAAAAGTTCCACTTTCTTCTGCTCTTGACACAAAACGCTAGATAGTGAACGTTCTTGCTGATAATGCATCTCTATTAGGATATGTTTCAGCATACAGTCTTGCTACTATTAATACATAATACATATTTTAATACATAAATATCCTTATTACATCATCCAAGAATTAGAATTACATTAACATATTCAGTTGAGAGCACCATTTTTCTTTCAATAATCGTTACTAAATAATTATACTTATTGTTAATAATTTACAGTAGTCGATAGTTGACAATTGACAGACTGATAATGACCAAATAGACCAAAAATTGAAGAAATCACTGCCGATATGTATTAATATTTCTTATGCAAAGTAATAGAGACATTGATTTTTATCTGTTTTGCAAACTTGATTTATCTCAAGGTTATTTTAAACGTGTATATGCAATATGCTATATATTAATACTAATAATTTGCTATAACTCTACAAGAATGATTAGAAACATTAACTTTGTGCATTATTTGTGTATCAATATATACAATGGGGAATGGAGAGAATTTAAGACAAAGATCTATTATCTCAGAACATTGTTTACATTAATGGTAGGAAAAATTTAACCTTTTAGTAAATCCTGTATTAATTGAAGAATAAATAAAAGATTATTAAACCATAACAAATATAAAATGAAAAAATCATTTATGGAAATTAAAGAAATTTAAATGAAAAGCAAATTCACAGAAAATAATTGAAACTAAAAAGTAATAAGAATACGAAAAACTAACACACTGGTCAGTAAACATTAATACAACTCAGCAAATTTTAAAGCACATGTAGCAAAAATAATGGCACTATAGAAACTCAGATTATGTACCATTTTTTATAGAAATGAATAACAGATCCTAGACATCACATTAAACTAAGTAAATAAACGTATTTAGTATCTTCTCTTTTTTCCAGAAATACTTTAATTGTGCTTACAATGACACATTCTATTAAAAACATTATTGTATAATGTTTACTATTAGCATTCAATTAGGAGCATTAATATGTAAGATTTGTTGTTCACTATATAAAATTATTCTTTATCTAAGTGTAACATAGTCAAAACTAATAGAATTCTATGAAAAGTTCTGTATAATTCAAAAATATAGATATATGCTATTAATGAAATCATAGCAAGTTAATATCCTATATTAACAAATGCTTCCAAATAATTTCTTCTATTCCTTCCACCAAAATATGAAGGAAACATTTGTTTTTTAATAAAGGATATAATTTATTAATCGCTTATCTTTGAATATTTATGAATATTTTATATAAATATTCATCAAAATAATTTATACTGTTTAACATTATTTGATCAAGATATCTTATTCAAAATATTTTAATATTTTGAGAAATTTGAGCATGTAAGTAAACAAAATACATAACTAAATGATTTATGATGGAAACATGATATACTGAATATAAAATTTACGATAAGTCTTTTGGATATTCAGTGAGGTACATATACATAGTATAACATTTTTTATGTTTCAGAAATTCATATATGATTAGACATTGTCAAAACTCCACTGCTTATGTAGCACATGATACCTTCAGGATCTTGGTACTTCATATGTCATAAGATATATTTTACATTTTCATTTACTCCTGTTTTGTTTTCTATATTAACTCCACTATCATTCCATATTATTTGAAACCAATTAAAATCTATGATCACTAAACAGTCAGAGTACATTGCTTATCTCCTCTTTAAAAATATTTTTATTTTTTAAAACTTATATTAGTTAATTTAACCCTTTTACCTATTTAGTAAAAGAATAACCTTAAATGACTTTGAAACAATAACTAATTGAACAAAATATATGGTTCCAATTAAGAAATAAAAATTACATTTAAATATTAGAAATATGATATATAGAAGAAAAAAAGAGCGCAATATAAAAAATATATTTCAAAGCAGTGAAAGTTTAATCTAAAATATTTTTGCCCAATATCAAGTAATTTGGAAAATGATCACATTGGGATGTAACTATATATATTTAATGAGAAAATAAAATTTTTGACGAAAAAGCATTATGCCAATTTTTTTTTTTTTTTTTTTTTTATGTGTATAGTTATACATATTACCATTTATTATAGCTAGTAGTTTTATATTGCATATGAAATATTTGTTTAAATAAAATTTATAATGTCCCAAAAAATCTAACAATTGCAATAGTTTGTAACATTTGTACATTCTAAATCCTTCGGATATGAAGGAATTAAAAAGAATTATATTGTTTATCGTTTTATATCGTGAATAATATACGAAATATATTATCAAAGGGAATCGCCAGAATACTCCGATTATGAATGCTAACTGCACGTTTCTTTACAAATAAATTGTACTTCATTAAAATGATTTTTTTTCACTCTATTACCTGTTTTTACTATTTTATCTTACAGATATTAAATATTAGTAGGAAAATATCTCAGTCACAAATAATTTTCAATAATAACTTCCTAAACGCGTAGAACTCACTATTTTCACTTAAAAATTTTTTCTAACTTATAATATATCTATTGGTAAAAGGAAACAGTTATAATTAATAATCCTTGTAATTAAGACATATGTCACATATTATAATATATTTCATATTATAATAAATATTATAATAAATATAATTTTATTATGATGAATATTATAATAAATATAACATCATTCAAATAAATATTATATTATAATAAATAATATAATTGAAATATTATAATATAAGCAATGACAAATTTTTCATATAAAGATAGCATTATAAAATGTTTTATAAAATATACACACATTTTCGTTTTTATTACACTTTTATTCGTAATTTTATTATATGATTAATATCCTTATAACATATCAATTTAAAAAAAAAATTAATGTTTTAACGGTTTGTTTTAATTATTCTAATTATAATAAATATAATAATTACAATAATAGGTTGATGTGTGTGTGTTTCAAAAATCATAAAAAAATATATGCATAAGAAAAGCTGTATTCATAAAGAAGTCAAATTTAAATATGAAAAATTCTGAAACATAATCTGTTTCCCTACTAATGTAATTTGCAAATTACGTTTTTAATTGTACTTCTACATATATAAAATTTTATCACATAAGAAACTTAAATACGTTTTTTATATTTCGTTCTATATAGTGTGCCCCATCCGTTTAGAATGTTATTATATACGGTTTTTGCAAAATTTAAACAAAGTTGCCAACACAAATATCATACGTTCCCCTTACTAGATATAAAAAAGGATGAAAAGTAAAAATATTATTAAAATGTCGATATAATGACTAGATTATAACTTTGATCTAACTATACATTTAGCCATGGATACGATTTACATAGATTTGTACATTGTCTAAAATTTTATTTTCGCATTCCTTTTTAGATTGTTTTTTTCTTTAAGCTACTTTTTATTACATTTTTATCTGAATATTCACACTTCTTTTATTACATTATTGTTATTATTTTCTCCATTACATTTCATTTGCAAATAACGTTCTATTATTATTCCTTCTTGTCGTTCACTTATTTTTTTTTCTTTTATATGTAAATTCGATTTACCTTTTCAAATTCAAATACTTTCAGACCTCTTAAGTTAAAATTAATTAATGATATTTTGCAAATTTTTAATATTATGTTGCTGAATTATTTTTAAAGCAATGCTTTGAATATATTTGGAACTAATTTTCTTTGTTATAAAAGAATGAGTTAATTTATTTTCTAACCTAAATAATTACGTATTAGCATCGGATTAATAATATTGTTGAATTGTTATATTTATGAAGAAAATTCTTGTTAACGTCAAATATGTTAAGAAAGTGTTTTTTTTCTTTTTTTTTTTAAATTTGATTTCTTCTTTGAAAATTTTTAATGCTTCAAACACAAAAACTCATTTATCAAATTTAAGTACTTTTCAAACTATTTTATAATTTTGTTACTTATTTTCTTGCATAACAACTCCAATGGTACTGTTACAAATAGAACATTAACAGAATTTATTAATTAAGGCTCGGATTCTGACCAATATCCCACTGAATTTCAATTCTGGGCCATTTTGTTTGAAGTGCTGTTAACATGGGGTTGCTTTCCATAATACCCTTAATAGTGCACTCCAGCAACACTGCTTGACCTCTATGATAAATCACTTTATTTTCTGGATTACTATGTTGAAGACCATTATAATGATATAATGGAAATGTATCTGGACATGTTAGTGGTTCTTCAGGGAAAAATTCATCCATGAAGTTAGTACGCAAGATAATTCCCAAATTTTCATTGTCCAATTTTTTCTTCATTACATTGACACTGTAATAAAAATTTAAATTGCAATTTATAAAATTAATATTTAGTACAAAAAAATAGTAGTTCAAACATATTTTATTCATTTCAATTATCAAACACTGAACTCATTTAAAGTTTTTCATAGGATTTAGAGTATTAAGGCAAAAAGCAGAAATGTGATATCGATGATGACACTCATAATGAAATAGATATCAGATACGAAATGTATACTTAAATGGACAAAATTTTTAGGAAAAAATTTCGAATTTTTTTTGTTTGTTTTATATTAAATAAAATATACATATATAGTTATGAAAATACATAGAAGACATAACATAATATACAAGATGTTTTATTTTAATCTTTACAGTGATTATCTCCTAATCTATTTGTTATTTAAGAAATATTTCAAATTCTTTATTTTTCTTTATTTTGACTGATATATTTTATGATTTATATAATTTTTATATAAATACATATAAGTGTCTCTGAAATTTGAATGTAATCTTTGTTTTTGTAAATGGAGTTATGTATTTATCTTTCTTTAATTTCAGGTATATGTAACTTCTAAGAACATTTAAGGTCATTTACAATTATTATCTACTATACTTGAAGGAACAACTTTAGGAACAAGTATATTAATTTAATCTACTTTTGAATAATATTTTTATTGTCTTGAAAGTTGTTCTTATGAACATTAGTAAAAATATTATTCTTTATTTTAGTATGTAATACATTTAACCACAGTCAGTCACAAAAATATTAGAACACCTGTATGATCTTGAATTCTAGGCTTCATATTTCAAATAAATGTACAATTGGCAACAAAAACAAATGTTACATTGTATTATAATACAGTATATGTGTTATTTATGCATACAAAAAATGGTTTAATTTTCCCATATAGTTGGAGAATAATAAAAGATAAACTCTAAAAATGTGAAATTTTGTCAAAATATACAAAAATATTGAGACACTTTTTTAATTTTAATTATAAAATACAATTTACTCAACATTTAATATTTAGGTGGATATAATTTATATTTGATAATCGAGTTCGCATATTCTGAATTATTTTTTCCAAGTAGTCAAATTAGAAAATTTTCTTCTATTCTTTTGACAAATAATCTCTTAACATATTTATAATATTTTTAGATTCTCTAGAATCTCTAGATTCTACTAGATTCAAGTCATGTATTTAGGAAGGGATCTTTAACACTTTTAAACAATTGTAAAGTAAGAATTCCTGTATAATCTAGCCTTTGTGTTTTATTCAGGATCAATTATCCTGATAAAATTGAATTCCCCATATGCCTGGCACTTTTTTTAAAATTATATTCCAAAATATTTAAATACATATTTTTATTCATAATACTGTCTAGAAATATTAATTCACCAACATTGAAGTTGAATATGTAAGCTCATGTCATCATTGATTGACTATCATGTTTTACAGTTTTAAATGTTTTAGATTCATCTTTGGATTCATCTTATTTGGATTTCTCTTTCTTTTTCCCACACTATAACTCTTCCATTACCAACATAAATATAAAAATTTTTTTGTGCATAAAAATTATATCATTCTATCACTCACTTTTTTTTGATAGGTGAATAATATTCTTTATCTTTTATTAATTACATTGATAAATATTTTTTTCTTAGCTATCCGACCATGATATCCTTCTGATCTCAGTAGTTCTCATATAATTTCTGCATATACTCTAATATCAAATTCCTCATCATCTCGAATATCAAATCTTTTGATCAACCTCTTTTTGGTCTTAAATGAATTTTATCTCGTCGCGATATGTTCTTATTATGTTTTACACAAAACTCTTTTTAAGATATTTGTAATTTCTCGCACTGACTTGTTTTCGTAGTAATGTATCACTAACTTCTATTTCAAACGTGCTATTTTCCTTGTGAGTTAACGGCATTACGATGAGTCGCATCTTTTATTGTTTAAAAACACGCCTTTTCAACCATATAAAACCATGTACTATTGTAAGTGTCCCAATATTTTTTTGATATAACATTTTGCATTTTTTGGCAGGTTTATCTTCTATTATCGCTCAACCATGTGAAATATAAAGCTTACAATTCAATATTATACTGGTGTCCCAATATTTTTGTGATTGACTATATATCAGTAAGTTTTTGCAATGGAGAAATTCTTGCCATCATTTTACAGTTATATTTGGAACAATCATAAATAAAGTTTAATGATTTTGAAAACTCATATGTTCTAACACAATAAATTTATCTCGATACCAGCAAAAATGATATACACTACATCAATTACAAAATTCACTGAAAAGTTACTTTAAAATTTGAAAGATATCTAACCTAGACATTATGTACATTATACTATACATATTTAAAAGAGTAAGTCCCATTTGAAACATTTAGTCAAATAACACATATTTTGAGAGATAATCACTGTAGAAATTAAAGTAGGAAATTTTGTACATATATATAATGCCACACATACAATACCATAAGACAAAATTAAATGGTATTGAGTACTGTATAATCTGGAAATAATTTCATGTATTTTTATATGTGAATGTATCTGAAAAATAATTGTATCCTTTTGTAAATGGAATCTTATCAATTTTACTGAACTTAATATATTTATTCATAATTCTATCAGACTTCATCATATGCTGACATAGTAGCAAGATCAATTATAGTTGAGTCAAACTATGTATTAATTATATTGAAAAGTACACTAATTTCTGAAATAATAACTTAAAATATTTTTGGGAAAAATAAAGAGTTTGAATTCGAATTAATACTCTATGAAATCCATCACTAAGAAACCCATATGATTTCAATATGATATGGATTTTTCCATTTCTAGGTATTGTTAACAATGGCTTACAAAGAATTAGAATTCTTTTAGATATCTTAAATATTAAACATAATTTAGTGATAGCAAATTAGTAATTAATGAGAAAAATTGAATTAGGAAATTAATTAAATTTTCCTACTTTACTGTGTAATTTTAAATGTCTACAATTACAAACTATAAATGGTCATTGATATCAATGGTTATTCAAATCAACTGAGTTGATATTTTTTTTGTAATATTAAATAGTTAACATTGATCCCATACCAATGCTAATATTTTATCTCTTTATCTCATGTATCTTGATATACCTTGTTTACCATCTTTGTTGTTTAATCCTATATAAAGTGACTTATAAATGTAACATTTGTGGCCAATAACAAAAATTGGTTTGCTCTATTTCTATAATGGGTGAAAAAAGGTAGACTTGTTATATTATGATTAAAGTTAATCTGCATTCTTTTCATAGAACTTCTTATGAAGCATGCACATAATTGGTATTTGAAAAAGATTTTAATATGAGTTACAACAATATGTAATCGAAAATACATGAGATATTTAATTATTTTTATTTAAACTAGAGATACAATATAAACATAAAAGATTTCTGGGTCTTGTTTAATTCTCATTTATGGATATATTACATATCAAACTTCAGATTTTTAAATGGTAATAAACATATGATTTTTGTAATAAAAAATTTATGCACTATATATATGTATGTATAATACATACATATGTATATATATATGTATAATACATATATGTGTGTATATATATATGTATAAATATATATCTTATACTAAATATTATTTTTAAAACTCTTAAAACTTATATTCTAATTTTAGATAAAATCTCTTTTTTGTTAATTTTGGAAAATTCATAAAAGAAAAAACTGTTAGAGAAATATGTTTAATATAAATTTTAAGGTAATTTAGTAAGAAACAATAATAATAAATGTTTAATATAAAATACACATTTTACAATATAAATTAGTACTACTCACTAATCTGTGTCTGCAACCAATCCAAGTTCAGCGAGAACATCTTGTAATGAATTGGCAGATATAAAATCATTTCCTTCGGGATCAAATTTTCTAAAAACTCTTTTTGCTTGATCTGCTGGTGTTTCAGGGCTCACTAGCCTTTTTTCAGTAGAAAATAATACAGTCAAATGAGTTTCTGAACCCAATACCCAAATAGGATGTGATGGAGATTTTAAGAAAGTTCCTACTTCACAATAACATAAATGTTCTAGAAGTGCAAGGAATCCTATTGTATTTTGTTTATCTATCCCACGCAATTCTGAAATTTGTAAATTATTTCAATATTAATAACATAAATATTTTATAATGTTTAATACAATAAAAATTAATTTAATATAATACTTTCATTATGAGGATAGTGAAACATATAATTTTGTGTTAAATGTTTGCAATGTTATCATGTACTATTTTTTTAAAGTATTTGTTAAACCACATATTAGCCATTCTATTATACTTTCTTAATACTTATTTAGACAAGAAGACATGGATTTAATCTATATACAAAAAGTATTTAAGTTCATTTAAAACATTGTACTATTATATAACACATTTGTATTGTTATCAGTGAATAAAAGATATATCCTTTGGAAGGTAGTTGAAGCCTATAGTGTGAACTGTTAGTTTTGAATTTTGTAAGGTTATAAATTTTTCCATGCTTACTGATAATGTGTTTGAATTAAATTAAATAAATCGGATGAAATTAATCTCTAATTCGTGATAGGGTTTTGACATAAGTTTATATTTTAACTTAATAACAAACTGAAGAAATGTGTATTCTGTGGTACATACTTGGTATTTCAATTGTATGATATAGAATCTACATCTCTTCTATATTATTATAGAATTATTATAGGATGACTCACTTAAGATTAACAATAGATATTAGATATCCTGAATATAATATAATGTACACCAGAAATTTTTTCATATTTGTCGAGATTTCAAAGCTATCGAATTTTTGTTTAAATGGAATAATATATTCTTATTGTCGCTATATGCCATAGAAATTCAAAACGAATCCAATGTTCTGTAATATAATACTATAACCTTCATGTGACATTGAGTATGAAAAGTTCATAATAATTGAGGAATTGATGCCAATATTGAAATAATAACGACAAAAATATTTAAAGAACAATTAATGAAGGTTCATTTATATTACTGAACCATTTTTTATCGATAATACTTTGAGTATCTATCTCATATTTTCCGGTGTTGCGGGGATGCCTTTATAAACTTCAAAAATATCTAGTGTAAGATTTGATTACCAATTTGACGTGTTGTGGAAATTTTTTACTGATTTTGACAATAAAAATATGTCATTATATTTAAAAAAAATTCGACAACCTTAAAATCCCGCAAAATAGAACCTTATAATATTTGCTCCTCTAAACTAATCTGTTTTTCTCTGATGTTTTTTTCTATTATTTTCTATTATTACGTATATAATGTACAAGAGCATCTTATTTAATATTATATATGGTACTAAAAAATGTTTCAAGCAAAAGTTTAGTGATTTTACAAGGCACGAAATCTTATGTTAGTAAAATTTTTCTAAGTAAAATAAAAATAAAAAAATATAAATGTAAATAATATAATATATAATATTTAATATAAATATAAAAAATTTAAAAAATTAAAAAAAAAGAATAAATGATTCATCGTGTTTAAGCTCGCGCGCATTGTTTTGAAATAATTGCGACGAGTTAATTCGTTATCTCCGATTAATGGTTTAATAATGGATAGTAGAATGCACATTTAAACTGAAAAATATATTTTCGAATATCAACTGTAGCATGGTAATGCCAATATCTAATATTAACATTAAAGTATCTTTTAAACCAATAATTTTTTGTAATAAGTAGCTTAGTATACAAAATAAATTTTGTATATACTTTATTATATACAAAATAACGATCTGTATCGATTAATCCATTAAAAAAATACGTTATAAGAATATATCATATAATATAACATTAAAATAAAAAACTGCCCCTAATATAACCTCTACGTGTCTGCCTAGAAAGAATCTACTAACATAGGATTACGTGTCTTTTGAAATCACTTAATTCTTGTTTCAAGCATTCTTTAAGCCTCGCATGGCGATGGCCGGGTCTGCGGTAACCCGTTTGAAGTTAAGCGCATGTACATATGTGACACACTGAGTGGCTAAGGAAAAGAAGCATTTCACTCAGTCAGTGTGGAAGACGCAGATGAGAGTTCTTTAGTACATTATTTCAGTATCTTATAAATATTACATTATATTATATATTCCAGAAGAGATGGCACAGCGTGTTTATATCCTCAGGGCTGACTGACTCCGCTGAGACTCCCTCGATCACAGGCAATGACCGCTATTGGCCAAAAATGGAGACAAAAATCATTGACAGGTCTTAGCGAGATCGAGTGAGATAGAATATGGCAGCATTATCGTAGTCTTTGAAGCTACAGAAAAATAACGCCGAAGCTGCCATATGTTACCTCACTCGGTCTGGCTACGGTCCCGTCGACGATCTTCGTCACTCTTCGACCAATAGCGGTCACTGCCTGTGATCAAAGGTCTCAGTGGAGTCAGTCAGTCCTGAGGATGTTAATATCAATGATAAATAATAATAATAATAATAAATATCAGTAATAAATAAATCAGAAAGCGTTAATATTAATAGTTTCGGAAATATATGAATGGATCGATTTGAATGGGACGCCATGTTGTATTTATAAATGCACGAGTCTTTACGAATTTTCTTTGCTGCGCGTAAAATTTTGCCAAACTCGTTGAATTACGTGATTCTCTTTGTTAAAGAACATCTGCATTGTCTGATTAAGTATATAATACAACGTAGAGCATAAAAATGTCTTACTCAATCCTCCAACGTCTTGATCATGATCCCAAACATGGCTGACTGCTCTGCCAGTAAGCATCAGGTTTATAAGGCTCTGATTTCCATAGCCATACGTTGAATCTATCATCGATTCTAATGGATCCGACATTTCCGAACGAATTTCAGTGACACCCTTGGTAACAATTACGCTGTAGAGAAGCAATAAGATACCATATCGATCTTTCAACATTTCTAACCTCTCGGAGAAAAATTCTTCCACGTGTTCGGAGCTATTCGTTGTAAACAGCCTACAGAAAAAGAAAATCATCGTTATAGCAAATTTTAAGTACTATGTGCATAATCTTAAAAAATACACATTGTCTGAAAATAATGTGTCAGATAAATGAAAACTTGGTAACATATTGATACTTATATAATACAGAAGAAAATGTTATGGATATAAAAATATCGGTAGTGCACAAGAGTTACTATGTAATTGCACACTCTATGATGTATCGACACGTTTCAAATTTTTAAAATTGTTCCTTTGTAAATTATTGATTAAAGTAAATTATTTGTGAGTATAAATTATCTTTTCCAATATCGGTATATTTATATAAATATATAGTATATATAGTATATTCTCTTTCCATATTTACTGTATCTATAGGGTACCCTAAAATTCACGCAAGCTTTGAATTTTGCGTCATTTGTGTAGTAAAGTGTTGTCAACGAAAAGAAGATACTAAGATAGTAAGATACTAAATTACTAAAATACTAAGTATACTGATGTATACTTTATGGATCAATAAAAAATTTACAACTTTTAATTAAAAACCTTTTCTATCAAAATTACTTCTTGCGTGAATTTTGGAACACCCATTATATAGTGTATTCTCTTTTTATATTTACTAAATTTTTACCGAATATTGAATATTTTCTGAATATTTTACTGAATATGTTATAAAACTAGGTAGACTCAATATTATTGTTATACAGTTATGTAGCTAAAATGAAAATTGTGAAAATTATATATTTATGCATATACTTAAATATTCAATTATATAATTATAATTTATTAATATCTCGTTTGTACGTCGATATCTCTTTCTACACTACTCAGGTCTCTCCACGCAACTACTGTCTCACACGCACTTCTCTCACATCCTATATACCCTTACACATACATTCTCTTCCATTCTAATTTTCAACCTCTCTTACACGATTTATTTTATCAGGTTCACCCAAAGTTCCTCAGTCCTTTCTTAAGGAGAAATTTTACTCAAATTATTGCTTCGAAAGTCGAAACTTGAGTAATTTTGTTAACCAACAGCAAGCACGACTAGAATCCGTTCTAGGCTACCAAAGATGGTATTCTTGGAAAAATATGTCAAAGTCAAGGTCATTATGGCTTCTTCTTACACACTGAATAATTACTGAAACTTGCACTTTTAGTAATCAATTAATTTTGTCAGAATGATATACTATCCCCGTTGTACGAAGGCAGCCGAGGGTTGTCATGGCGGATGCCTTCTCTCAGTATGTTCTACCAATTGTGATACTGAGCACCTAGGGTGTGTAATAAAGGACAATTTCGTGTTTGTGTATACTTTATTACACTGCTAGTTGCGATTTCAAATGTGATGTGCATGTGTTATACTAAGTGTTTTATATGTATTACGTCCCGATCACTACAACTCGCACGTTGGGAGTTTCGCGGGGTTGTAAGGCCCGTTTACACGGATGCGACAATGTTGCTGGGATGTGGCCTACTCTAAATTAACAGAGCTAGATCTAGTTAAGGTTGAACTAAAGAGTTCTGATGTGTGACTGTCTCTCGCGCTGAATTGTTCATCGTGGGTTTTGATTGATGGTCTAGCTGTGATGCTTGTCTTATCTTCTTGGACTTTTTTGGAGACTATTTTTTCGTGACTCGGTGGTTTTATAAGTTTTGTATGTCCACTGATTGGCCGGTGCGGATGCGCGTCTTCCGATTGGTTATTAATAACATCGGAGGTGTGTGTGTCAGTCTCGACGTCCCCTAGTGGCGGTGGATGATCAAACAATTCGAGGCTCATTGTCTTAAAAATGATTTACTGACCCTTACCAAGAATCACCAAAGCGGTGAACGGCAACATCGAGTGTGCACGAGTCAAAAGATGCCGACGATAAGGACACAAAGCAGTCCTCCGCGAAAACTTGAGAGGTTCGGTCCTCGGGATGCAACAATATGCGTTTTGACTGAGTTCTGACTAAGTTCTGTTTTGCTTCTGACATGTTCTCTTTGAATTCTAAGCGACGTCTGATGTATTGTCTTGAATTCTAAGTGACATCTGATGAGTTCTGTATGATGTCTGATGTGTCCTGACTGAGTGCTGTATGATATCTGTGATGTCTCGTCGTGTTCTGTCCGGTGTCTCATAAAGTTTGCTTGTGATTAATTAAGAGTGGATGTTAGTGGAGGAAAGATGGAGGCTTTGATTGGACGTGGGTGTTTCGGAAGAACCTGTAGCGACCTAGTTCTCACCCTCGCCATAGATGGATTTCTACTTGAAGAAGGAGGTTCGAGGACTTTCTCGCAAGTCCTCGGTAAAGCCTCGACCTTCCTTAAACAGAAGTTTCTATGACACCTAAGTATCCCAGTGTCTAAGGCGGGGCCTGCTCGAAGCAAGCCTTACTGATGAGTCCACTAGCAGGCCCGGGACGAAACGCATCCCCTCCTTTTCCTACCGTCCCTTCTAGCTACGCCGCTACCGAGGGATACCTACGACCAGCTGACATGAACGATTGTAAAGGACACCCCCACAATAGATTCGAGATAAAAGTTCCCAAACGAAGAATATGAAGCATAAAAAGCAATAAAGGGAGAAAAGGAGATAATGAAAAATGAATTGTCATTCATACGGTTAGAAATGGAATGGATACGAGGGAATAAGGTACAACCTACCTATTGGTAACTCGAAACGTTCATACATATGTGTGAAACCGCAGGTCGAACCGCGAGAAAATCTTTCAACGATATTGGAGTTAGTCAATATCTTTGTTGAGTCAGTGGTTTGTATGAGAAGTAGAAGAAGCAAATTAAAATCTTGGGGATGAGGCATAATCTTCCGAATGATTCGTGACGATTATTAGCGAGGTATTTATTTAATGACACGAAATCCAGCAACGATAGTACAACCGGGAAGAGGGTGATTCTACGTGAAAAAACAAATCGAAAATAAAGAATAAAATTTTCTTATTCGAAGCTTCGTTGCCGAGAAAATTGACTTTGAATATTCACCGAGTACGCGTGAACTTAATTTTGGCTAAAGCGGATGGACCATCAGCGCACTCTATGAATATTCAAAGTCGATTTACTTACCAACGAAGCTTCGAATGAAAAAATTTTATTCTTTATTTTCGATGTGTTTTTTCACGTAGAATCACCCTCTCCTCGGTTGTACTACCGTTGCTGGGACACCCAGTATATTTTTGTTCATCAAGGAAACTGAGATCAAAGTATTCAAGAAAATGGAAATAAGATATGGAAAAAGTGCTGGTGAAATAAGAAGGTATATAATGTTATGTTCTGGAAAAAACATACATGTAGGATCAGATTTTGGGTGGATTGACTTAAGATAGTATTGTTGACATCTTAATAGAATAAAATAAGCTTATAAATGGAATGACGGCTATGACACAAGGGAGATTCGCTATGGACATGTTCTTCTGATCTTTCTTAGACTGACTTGGACTCCTTACATATTCTCTGATTGACACACTGGCACACTTTTCAAGACTGCAAAAAGACTGACTTAAAAAACTCTTAAAGACTAACTCGCCTGCGCCCTTGCATCCTTATTTAACCCTTTCGGTACTACTGCCGCCCAATGGCGGCGGCCATGAAACGTTCTCTAGGTATTACTGTCGCCTATTGGCGACATCTACGAAACGTTCTCTAGGTACTACCGTCGCCTATTGGCGGCATCCACGAAACGTCACCGATGACTGTCGCGATCCGAATGAAAAGTTTAATGTCAATCACGCTCGAGATTTCTGTGAATACCGCAAAACACGTTTTCGTGGCTACCAGTGCAACCATTCTTGTGGAAACCTTCCTCGAACCACGAATGTATAACCGCGGCCAGCTCCTCCGTATCGAAAGGGTTAAACCATTCATTCTGTCCTTTTTCATACCCAAGCTTTCCTTCCCAATCATGCCGCTTTCCCGGGACATGCACTGAACCTTTACATGGTAAAATTTCTGAACAGAACTGAATTAAACTAATGATCGCATCTTCAATTGCAAATATCTTAAAAATTATTGAGTAGTGGCATATAATCATACACCTTCACCATTAGGGGAACTAGATCCACCATCCTACAAAATTTGATCCAAATCAGTGACCCGAAGACCTTGCAATCTTCTTGTTAGTACATATTGCAAAAAAAATTCGCGTTGGACGGTGTTATTTTCATAGGAATTTATTTATATGACGAATTCGTCAGAAAACGTATTTGCTGTAAACTTAAGGAGGTATTCTTGTAATCCAGCTTAAAAAATCGATCTCTTTTCTACATTTTCTCAAAGTATATGCTTCGAAAATGTCTGTGTAAAAGGATTTGTTAGAATTCGCAAAAATAGCAAAGTTATAGATGTTTAACCCTTTGCGGTCCGTGTCCCTCTAGCGGGGACATTCGCAAATCGTAGTAGAGGTCTATGTCCCCCTAGCGGGAACATTCGCAAGTCGCTATAGAAGTCAGGGCAGATGCTTTTCTGAGCACCAGCGATATAGCATCACTCACACAATAAATTTATTGAAACCAATCGTGGCTATGCATTATACCAATAAAATGAGAGTAGTTGATCGCGCGGACCAATATGCGGCAACATATTGTTTCCTTCGCAAATCTCTCAAATGGTGGAAAAAATTACTTTTTTGGTGCATGGAGATGTGCGTCATCAATTCATACATAATACATAAAATAACGAGAGAACAGAACAACGAAAAGCCACTAACATATTTAACTTTTATGAAATGTTTAGTTGATACTAGGGAATTCCCGGCACTAAACACTATCTAAAGCGCAACCTTCAACGTCATTCGTAGATAGATTAAAATACGACAAACACACACGTACTGTGATACTTGTACAGGAAAGCCAGGCCTTCGTATCGGTGATTGTTTTGCAAAATATCATACCTTAGAAAATTACAGAATTTAAAAAGTTTGTATTTTTACGTATTATAAGTAGTATTAAACATAAAAAATCAGTTACAACAAATTCTGTGTGTTTTAATATCCATATATTGACTTTAAATCCTGTATGGAAAAGTAACTACGAAACGCTAAATTTGCTTCGACCTGCTGATGCTCCCAAGAGCGAAGTCTGCCGACCCGCAAAGGGTTAAAGTGCGGCGTACAGCCATTGTTTAACGGGTAACGAAAATTTCAAAAGCATTTTTCTCGACACCATATTTTTTGAACTGGCTGTCGGGATATCTCGCGTTTTAGTTGACCGATTGACTCGAAATTTGGAGATCTTCACCGGGTCTACCTTTACCACGGATTTCAAAATCTGATGTTTTTTTCTATTTTTTTTTTACCAACCAAAGGACGTAAAGCACAAGGAAAATCGATATTTAAATTTTAAAATGCTGCCATCTTTTTAATTTTCGAAATTTCGCTGTTTTGATGGTTCATGCTATAGCCGTATTTATACTAATTAAGATGCTTTTTAGTTTTTTCGATTCAAATAACCAGATGGTATTGAATCGTGTCAGTTATTCGAGCCTGATCTTAACCCTTTGCACTCGACGATTTTTTGGCTAGAGAAGAGTAGAAAATCAAAGATTCTCTATTAAAAAACTGACGATACTTTTTTGAGTAGTAAATAAAGAATTGTAGAATTATTTAATTTCGATACCTCGCACACTGTCACATTATATTAAATTTGATATATTAATTAATATCGATCTTGAAAATTTTATGAAATGGTCACTGAAAGTCACCTCTCGAGTGCGAGGGGTTAAAAACATGATTTACCTAAAGCTATATAATTTCCATAATTTTGAATAATTTCGTTGAAAAAAAATTTGAAATATTCTTTAAGTATAAATAAACCCGAGTGAGAAAACTGCATGACACTATGTGTAATAGTTTCCTTGGAAAAAAATCCCAAAGAAGTCGATTTTTATTGGTCAGGTTACAAGAATTCTCTCTTAAACCTTTGCATTCCATTATTGAGTATGACATCAGTTTTTATCATAGAAACTTCTATGCCGAGTGTGACTCAATATCAGTTGTTATCACAGGAATTCCTATGTCGAGTTATAGTTGATGTTTTTTATATTTAATATACTCAGAAAACAAATTTCTTTAAAATCAGTAACAATCGAAGAACTGTTCTGTGAAGTAAATTTCAAAGCAAATACTTGAAATAGTAAGGAATTATTGGGAACAAAATTGAAAACTAACTCGGAGTGCGAAGGGTTAACCTAACGCGAAGGATTGCTTTCCTACAAGCAATTCTAAAACACGGTGGTGATGACTCAGCGTTTATTGTAGAGATGAAAATTTATTTTCGAAATCACTTTTGTAAGAGGAGTCTTTATTTGGATGGCGCCACCCTGCATCGGGATCTATGTTTGCTTCGAGGAACCAAGATTATCAATTTTCGAAGCAGGACTGAGTGACGCAATGGGTTGTCATAGGGCCTAAAGAACCTGGCTGAAGGGTTCGAGGACACGCACTCTCTTTCGACAATTCACCGTCTGCATCAGGCATCGTACAAGACTCAAGCCTCCACGCATTTGTATTGCAAGAGAATAAAATACAATCAATGTTTAAAGTCAAATCTCTATAAACCCGAATCCTTTGCCACACTTTGAAAATGAAAATCGTCTCTAGAATAAGTTATCGTATTTATAATAAGCTTTCTTACCTCAACTGAGAATGGAAAAAATCGGAATCTACGTTTCTACATTCCTCATTCATTTCCATTCGTAGTATTTTATTACTCTTCTCCTGACTCTCATTGTTTCCTACAGATATCTCTTCTTCGCGATTTTCTATTTCCGGTATCTTCGCCACCCATTTCGCCTTTCTTCCATTTTCGTCGTTCGAAAATTTGCAATCCATAAAAACGATACAAAACTTCGGAACCTTCTCTCCGGCTGCTTGTTTCAAAATCTCTATAGAAGCTCGCACAAGAAGTTGATAACATGTATCGCGATTGATGTTTTTCCAAGCTGAGACATCAGGTTCAGAGAGTAACTCTTTCAAGATAAAGGCTTGCACAGGTGCTATTACTGCGCAAGGGCCACCGTTGGTTTGTATCAATGCTGTTGGTTCATCGGGGCTGAAATAGAACCCTGAAACGAGAAAAATAAATCGTGAATCAATTAGAACGAGTTAACCGGAAGCGCTTAGAAATTTTGCGTTTGTGACACGGAGGACGTCTATGGGCGCTTAGAAATTTTGCGTTTGTGACACAGAGGGCGCCCATAAGCGCTTAGAAATTTTGCGTTTGTAACACGGAGGGCGCCCATAAGCGCTTAGAAATTTTGCGTTTGTAACACGGAGGGCGCCCATAAGCGCTTAGAAATTTTGCGTTTGTGACACGGAGGGCGCTTGTTTTCCCAAAAATGGCGCACATCGTAACTCAATTCCTGCCGTATGGTACGGCCGCTGCGTATCAAAATCTGCCGTAGTCAAGGGGTTAAATAAGGGTGCATGGGCGTAAAGCGAATAGTTCTTTGAGTAGTTCTTTGAGAGGAGTTCAGAGGATGGCGTTCTTTGGGAAGAGTTTATCGGAAGCTAGTCAGTGTAAAAGGTCATAGCGTCTAGAATAAGTCTTAAATTAGTTTACAATAAATCATACTTCTTATTATCTACCACCGTCGTTTTGCTGCCTCCTAAACAATTCCTACATATATGCGCGAATTTTTCTAACCACCATCATCGAGGCGCAGATATACGTGCTGGTCTTTTGCGTATAAGAATAGAACTTCTGCGCATGATCACGGAACGCTGTTTTGTACCACAGGCCGTGTTTATATCATAACTATTATTTTAATACCTTCATTTTCGATAATTCTAAAGACTTTATTATTTCGTATTACGACTGCAAACCAGTCGCAAAGATAGAGCACTTCACGTCTTCGAGCAATAATTAGCGGAAAAAATAATTGAAGAGAATAAACCAAAAATAAAAATATCAGCAACACGAGAAATTACACTACGTCCATCGTTACCATCAAGATTTACTGACCAACATTTTCTAATACCAATTGAAATAACTTTATCACGGGAAGCTCGTAAACGTTGTGTGGTTTGTTTATCACAAAAAGAGAAAAAAGATCCATTTTATCAGTGTGATAACTTCCGTGTGACTATATGTATTGAACATTTCAAGTACTATCGTACCGTGTGAAACTATTGAACATAATTTCTCAAATTATTTTCAATGTATAACTTCATTGAACTAAATAATATTATAAATTCTTCGTGTACGCCATCTTCTTTTATTTTTATCTTTATCATTTTGAAATATTTTTGTTTTTATATGAAAAAAAAAAAAAATGTTTGGTGATATAGGCCAATTTTCCACTTTTTCGAATGATGCAAATGAGTTAAATGACCTAAAAATCGGAACATTGCAGATATTTGTAACGTTATATGCACTTTTACATATGAACTCTAAATGCTTAATACTTATACATTAATTTACGGGCCTAGAAGACCCGTTACGGTGTTCTAACAGCCAGACCCTAAATGCTGACCCATTTCACATTTGATACTTTTCATTTTTATCTGTTTATTGTACATTTTTGCAAACCTCCCTTTATTTCCTCGGGTTACCGGATACAAGGCACTCTTTAGGGCCTAATTTTAGAAAATCAGGCAACGACACTTGAGATTTAGCTGACAATGGGCCCGTAGAACACAAGACCAGGCCATGTGCGCTGTTTATGATTTTTCGAAGTCTGAAAGTAAAGGTGACCACACTGCGGTTACCTGTCAAGAAGGGTTACCTACGTGCTGGTGACCTACCAAGAACCTTACTCTGAAGGAGTTCTACGAGCGACCTTATCGTGGAGAACTTTCCTCCCTTTTTTGGCGTAACTTATTTGCGGACCAAGGGCCTACTTTTGGTTCGATAAACTGCCAATCAGGAGAACACTTCTCCGTTGGCGATTCATGATCACGTTTTAGCTTCGAAAGATTGGCAGTCGTTAAGCTATCGTGAATCAGTCGTCAGGCAGTCGTGAATCAGTCGTCAAGCAGTCGTCAAACAGTCGTCAAGCAGTCGTCAAGCAATCGTCAAACAGTCATGAAGAAGTCAGACAGCCATCAAAAATTCGCCATAGTCGTCACAATCGACAATAAGTCGTCAACCAGTCGTTCAGCAACCGTTAAGCAGCCGTCAGGCAATCATCCAGCAGCCGTTAAGCAACCGCCAATTAGTCGTCCAGCAACTATTAAGCAGTCGTCAAGCAGTCGTCCAACAGCCGCTAAACAGCCGTCAAGCGGCCGTAAAATAGCCGTCAAGCAGCCGTCAAGCAGCCGTCAAGCAACCGCCAAGCAACCGTCAAAGGGTGGTCAAGTCGTCACCAAGCAATCGTCAAAGTGTCAGATTAGTAGCCAAATGTCGCACCAACAAGTTAATCGTTGAACAATTGCAAGAGCGAAACTTTAATGAATTGGTAATTACTTTTAAATAAATATCTAATATATCTTGTATATCCTATTAATAAAATTTTTAATTTCTTACAGGCTAATTTATATTTCGTGTTGTTTTTTAATAAAATATTTATGTACCAGTACTTGATATGCAAAAGGGGGAGTTTTAAATGCAAAACCTGTATAAGATGAGCTACTAAATATGTACCATTGTTCATGACGACGACTATAATAATCGTAAGTGTCATGAGTGTAAGCATAGTCACACGAATATCTTGTCCAGTTTTGTACACTTTATAAATAAAAAAAAAAACCTCAAATATAATGTTATTTGTTATCTTACACTTTATTTTTTCTTGTAGAATTTGCCTTTACGATTTCTCTCACCCATTGCTCTCCCATTCGTTGCTAAATTGATACTTGCTGATTTATAGTAAGTCACAAAATTACTGTAACTTTTGTAATTGTTCACTTCAGATAAGTAATATTTTCTTAGAACTCGAGCGAATACGTGTCGTATTATCTAAGCTTTTGATATATAAGGAGTATCCTAAAATTCTCGCAAGAAGTAATTTTATTAGAAAACTCAGATTTAAAAATAAGAAAAATAAAAGGAATAAAATTTTATCGATTTCGACATCGTTTTCGAGATAATCCAGTTTGAAGATTCACTTCGTGTTACTCGCACTTACGGCTAACTTGTTCTTATTTTTCTTATTCTTTCATAAAGAATCGTCTCCAGCCTGCTTTTACACGTTATTCCGGAACACCCTGTATAATTAACACTTTACCGGCCGCACTGTTTTTAAATATTTACCACTAACTCTGTTACTTCGCTTGTCGTCGACTGTTTTTAAGGTTATTGGGAGATGATAAATGTCAAGTTTTTCTAATCTCATCGGTAGTTCTCATGAATTTTCAATCCGCCTCCCCTATTTTATACAAAGGATACAAAAGTGTTGTCGTCGGCCACTGGGTGATACCGTGCGCACGACACCATTGCAGTGTTGCCGGCCGTCGAGCGATACTTCGTGCGCGACACCACTGTGGTGTCGCCGGCCGTCAGGCAATACTTTGCGAAGGTCACCACTGTGGTGTCGCCGGACGGCATAATGTTAAAAAACGCGGTGGATATATCGACAAAAAGAATATCTAACTTTCTTGTGCAAAATTAATATTATTATTGTTATAATGTGAACTATATATATGTCGAATTTCTATGTTGCCTCGGGTCATCGGACACGAGGCGTCGTTGAAAAGCCTATTTAGGCTATTAAGCTTGGGCACTTAGGATCTGGCTGCCAGATGGACCGTAGGAGGTTGGGGCCAGGCCACGTGAGGTGGCCTCGTGCAATCCCGGCTTTCCCCGGCATAAACCGAGGGTGACGCAGTTGCAGTCACCTCTCGGGAAGGGTCCCCGCGAGGGTGACCCTTTGTGGGGCCTAACTTGGAGGGAGGAGTCTCCTCCACCCTTGACCTTGGCGGAGGAAGTTTCTCCGCCTTTGGGGAGGCGCTTATCCTCTGTACGGGCTTTAAAAGGGCTCGACCTGGAAGCCAGAGTTAGTTGATCGTCGGTCATTTGATTATCAGTCAGTTGTCAAGTTAGCTAAGATTAGTTAGTGATTAGAAGAGCGAGATAATCAGTGAGAGAGTTAGTCAGTTGTCAGTCGTAGTCGCCTATTGAGGGCTTATCGAAGTGACTTCATATTTCGCACCTCACCTCACCACCTTTCACCTTGATCCTACATAACGTTGAAATCTCGATCGGGATTTTTATAATATTTTGGGGTCTCGTCTGAGATTTCTACATTACTGTCAGAATGTGAACTATATATACCTTTTCCAGCTTAATACAACTAACTTTGAAATAAATTTAAGAACAATTTCCAAATGGTCTTCCAAATTTATTTCATTTTCTGTAAGAGTCCTAATACTTTTCGAGGGGAGTGTACAATGTAAAATATGGTAAAGATATCGTCCAGAAATGTCTATTAAACATAATATATAAGAAAGTGAATCTTTATTTAAGAAACTGAATAAATTAAAAATAGAAAATAGAAGAAAATATAAAAAATAGAAGAAAAGGTTCAAAGCATGGTAGACACAGATAGTGAGCACTAACAACCAGAAACCGTGTTTAACATGGAAATCATAGATCGTAACTATAATACACAAAACGAGAAAAAGTCATAGTATAACAATTATATTTTTCTTTAAATGATAGCAGTTACGAATAAATTGAAGTAAAACTTTTTTTTAATAACTTCTAAAAATTATTCACCAAATAACCAAAACCTAACCTAACCTAACCAAACCAAAAGGAGTAAGAATTAGAGCTTCTTAATCGTTTATTTTTAATTTAACGATGATTGTATCACGTATGAATGAAAATCGATATTTTACCGATCATATTTTTCTATCCTATTTAAAATGATTGTTGTCTTTTATCTCTGGTGGAAACACAGCTACATTAAGTCGGTAGGAACTTGTATTTAATATTTCCTTCTACCTCTCTTCATTTTCCTCGTATCCCTTATGAAAGGAGGACGTAATGGAGCTAATGAGCTTGCACGAAAGACAAGGCAAGTTAGAACATACCAACGAATTTGCACAAGAAGTAAAGCAAGTTAGTTATACACGTCAATGAATTCATACTCCGCGGTAAAACATATTGACTAGGTTAGGTTAG